CCCCCCCCCCACCAGTGACCTAATCGCTGGTACTCTCCTAAGGGTCTGAGGTTTTCTGGTTAGAGACTGATGGGAGTTTCAGGCGGGGCCAGGGAGGTGACATACCCTCTGGTGCCCGCAGACCAATCTGCCTGAGGCTCTGCGGATCAGATTGGAATTGGACGGTGAGAGTCAAACCCTGGAGCTGCTGCAGAATAGGTAACAATGACGGTGGTAACGACAATAACAGCACAAGTAACAACCGTACGTGACATTTACTAAGTGCTCGAACTCTCTTAATCCTTCTAACAACCTATAAGGTAAATACTATGATGTTGCTGTTTTCATTTTACATGTGGAGAAGTCAAGGCACAGAGAGGTTACATAACCTGCCCAAGGTCACACAGCTAGTGTGTGGTAAAACCCAGAGTAGGACCCAGATAGCCTGGCAGAGTTTGTGGCCCGACCGCTCTGCTCTGCGGCCTCGGGGGGAGCCCTGGCCCCCAGCCACCCCTTACCACCCCTGGACCTCAGGCTGTCGCCGTACCTCCCTGGGAGGCAACTGTCATTGCCCCCGTTTTTCTTCACTCCACAGGGAGCTGGTCCCAGGCCGCCCACACCTGATGTGGTACGAGCCTGACGGCACCCGTGTGGTCAGCGAGGGACACACTCTGGTGAGTCTAGTGTCCTGTCTCCGGCCCGAGGGCGGCGCCAGGGGCCAGATGGAGGGTGTCATCCCTACGGGATGTGGGGTGCACCTTCACCAGCCTCCACCGACAGGCTAGCTAGCCTCCTGGGCTCCAACCCTGACCTTTGGGGTAGCACTGACCTTTCTCTGCTGTAGGAGAGCTGCTGCTACCAGGGAGCGGTACGGGGCCACGTGGGCTCCTGGGCGTCGGTGTGCACCTGCTCAGGGCTCAGGTACAGAGGGCGCGTCCCACCGGGATGGAGAGAGGGAGGCGGTGTGAGGTGTGGAGCTGAGAGGTCTTCTGACTTCCTGCCTCCTCCCAGGGGTCTGGTGGTCCTGTCCCCCGAGAGAAGCTACACCTTGGAGCTGGGGCCCGGGGACCTGCGAGCCGCCCCCATCATCTCCCGGACCCGAGACCTCCTCCTGCCAGGCCGCACCTGTGGGTTGAGCTGGCATGCATCTGTGGCCACGCGGGCTCCCCAGGAGCGGCCCCGGGGACGGCGCCACAGCCACACGCGCAGTCGTCGGGTGAGGATGACAGCAAGAGGCCAGGCTTCTGTTGTCCCTGAGGGCCAGGCCCCGGACCCTCAGAGATCTTTGTTTCCAGTACCTTCTAAGGAGCTGTTGCCCTGGGTCGGGCCCCGTGTGAACATAATCTGCTCTCCTCCTCCCGAAACCCTGGGAGGTTCGGGCTGGCAATAGCTCCGTCTTTGTCAGAAAAGCAGCTCAGAGAGAGAGAGGCAGTGACTTGCCCAAAGCTGTTCAACCACTAAATGACATATGCGGGGTTTAGACGCAGGGACCTGACTCAGACTCTTCATGGGCCGTATGATCCCGTGTGCGGACAGTGCTTGGCTACAGACCACACGGTCACCAGGCATAAAGCAGTATGACTCCAGCTCCCTCATTTATAAATTGGGGAGAATAAGCTACTTACTCTCTAGGGTTACTGTGGAGCTTAAACGAGTCTATATCCATCTATCTATCAAGTATCTATATGGTGCTTAAACTGTGCCTGAGGTAGGTAAATATACGACAGTGTTGGCTATTATTTTATTATTTATTTCTTAAAGTTTATTTATTGTGTTTTTTTTTAACGTTTATTTTTGAGAGAGAGACAGACCTTGAGTGGGGGGAGGAGCAGAGAGAGAGAGGGAGACGCAGAATCCGAAGCAGGCTCCAGGCTCTGAGCTGTCAGCACAGAGCCCGACGCAGGGCTTGAACCCACGAACTGTGAGATCATGACCTGAGCCGAAGTCGGACGCTTAACCGACTGAGCCACTCAGGTGCCCCCTGTTTATTGTTTTGGTTGTTTTTAGTAATCTCTGTACCCAGTGTGGGGCTCAGACTCACGACCCCCGAGATCAAGAGTCGCATGCTCATCCGACTGGGCCAGCCAGGCGCCCCAGTCTTATTTTTTTTAATTCAGGAAAAGTACTGAGTTTGGAGCCAGAGAAGCAAGGCTCTACTCCCAGCTTCATGACCTACTTCTCAGTCCACCTTGGGCAAGTCCCTGGCCTCTCAGGCTCTCAGGGGTTCCTCTGTGAAACGGGCTCTCTGCTCTCCTCCGCTGGAGCACACAGGGTGGGAGCGGACACAGCTCGGGCAGCCCCGTGTGGCCCCGGCGTGAGGAGTGTGCCTGACACCCCTTCTTGTCCCCAGCGGAGGCGGGACGTGGTGGCAGAGACCAAGGTTATTGAGCTGGTGCTCGTGGCCGACCATTCTGAGGTGAGCTTGCAGGCGCTGCGTGTCCTGCCCCCCCCAACCCTCTCC